AAGTGCTTGACAAAGCACAAAAAAAGGCCTCGGAGGGGAGAAGTAACTCCACCCTGTTTTCAGTTGGGGGGCCTGTTGGGATTATTCAGTCTCGGTTTGGTGTGTTTTTTTTTTTTGTTTTTTTTTGAAACCCTGCAGACAAACTCCTCCTTTCTGTGAGACCCGACTGCCGGACCGAGGAGACAAACTCAGCTTTGTGAGAGTGGACAGCTTCTGTCTGGAGCTGGGCAGCTGCTCTTCTACCAGTTGCACCCCCCCACCCTTCCTCCCATCAGGCCACATGCTCATTCAACTGGTTAACATGACAGTCAATGGCAGTGACCGACAGCTGATCGAAAACGGGGGCTATGACTTCCCTACAGAGGGTTTGGCTCATCACATGCAGGTCTTTGTGTTGACTGCAGGCTAATCTGACTGCCTCCATTCCCACACAGCAGCACTCGCAAATAGAATTAGCGCCGGACAGTGAATGGAGCGAGAGATTAAAAAAAAGGAGTAATTCTCCGTCCCGTACGGGACAAAAAAACAAACATCTGGTGGCAAGATAGCATGCCGGCATCCTCCTCTGCACACCGCACAGGGCCCATTCCAGGTGTGGCAGTGGGACGGGCACATGCACACAGATGGGGGTTCGCTCTGTGAGTTGAGGAAGGAGGGAGGAGGGTCTTGGAAGTTCACTGCACGAGGGGATTGAATGCAGGTCACTGGAGCACTGTGGGCTGTCAGAATTAAATACTCAGCTAAGCTTGCTGCTTAGTGCACAAGCAAATTGATGGGGTTTTTTTTCCCCCTGTTTCCACCAGCCTGCTAACAGCCGTGCTCAGCAAACTAGAGGTCTGCTTAACATACAGGCATGTGGTTGAATGTCATCTCACAGTGGAGCAGCGGGGAACAAAATGGAGCCTAGCTAGCTGCAGCAATAACAACACAAGGAGGCCCGCTGCAACACAGCTAAAGGACAGATGAGCCTCCGATCCAAGGCCGTCGCTCCAATCAAACACATCTTTGACTTCCATGTCTCTCTCTCTCTCTCTCTCTCTCTCCTCGGCCGTGTCTTTCAACAGCAGCAATGTTCATTCGCAACGGGGGAAATGTGACACCGAGAGCAGATGGCCCCGGAGAGAGGTGGTGCTGATTCCCATTCAACTGGGGGTCCTGATTTTAAAAACAGGATTTGGTTTTGTTACAATAAAAGCTGCAGCAGACAGAGACGTGCGGTCAGCAGGACTAGTCTCGTCACAGATGTTGTTCTTCCATCCTCGCCTCCTCACCTACCTTTCAGGAAGGCAGGTGATGTAATGCGGGTGATGCATCAGACTGTAGACTGTCTGATTCACACACACACACACACACAATGAACTGTGATCAGACTGATGCATAAAGCAAACTATTACTAGACTAGCATTGCATCTTTCAGCTTAGTCATCCACGATGTGGCCTGATAGCAAACATCTGAAAAGGATGTGTTTTTCTTAATGTCACTTCCTTTGTTCCCAGGCATGATAAGTAAAATAAATAAATAAAAATAACATGATGTATCCTGAGCATTCACAGTGAAAACAGGCCATGCACCAACCTTGTATACTTGTCCATAGGTGCCATTTCCAACAACCTCCACCAATTCAAATATCCCAGCTGGATCCTGAAAAGAACAAGAACAGAAAAAGGGCGATTCAGTGTGAATAAATAGCAATGTTATTGTTTTTCTTCTTCTTCTTCTTTATACACAACGTTGTGCACTGTGAGCCAGCTGTTGCGCCCCTGGTCTATATCCCCTACATGCACAAAATGCATCTCGAACAAAGGAAAACCAGACACTGGCAACACCTCGCTGTGGCTCAGCGGTCATTTTCTTCAATACTTCAATACACAGTTTAAACTCGTTCAGTCGGACCGGAGCACGTGTGTTTTTGTCGAGCAACGTGTAAATAAAAGCGAGCAAAAACAACATTATAGAAAAACAAAAAAAACATAGGTTCAGTTCTGCAGCGCTCACCCGCAATGAAGCCAAGTCTATGTCTACCAGACTTTTAGCCGGAGAGTCGTTCGCCATCTTTCAAATTAAAGCCGAGCTTTTCCTCCGCGTGCACGAAAATAAAAATATTGCCGCTGTGTATTATTTGCGGGGGGACCTTCTGCGGGAGAATCGGACAGAGGCCGTCGCGTATTCCTCTCTGTGGGATCCGCTTTTTAGCAGTGAATGCTGGGGGTCTCGCTACTCCATGTTGAGGTGGCAGCAGCGGGCAGTCCGCTCGCTCTCTCTGCTCGTGCCACTGACGTCAAGTGTCGCTCAAAACCCACACTTCCGCCTAAGAGTTTCAACATAAAAGCCTCGTTGACACTGCTCTCCTTGTTTCGGTGTTTTCAACCAGACACAAGATATTTAATTGCATTTTAAACAATATAATAATTGTTACAATCCAAGTTTGTACTCGGATTCAATCTATGTATTGATTGACAAGTTATTAAGGTTGTAATTACTGCATATAATATTTTAGTTATTGTGGATTTTTGACTTTTTGACTTATTTAATATTCTTTACTTATTTATAATACTTGTTTTGATCTTGTTTTTTACTATATATCTTGTTTGCACTATCCACTATGCTGCTGTAATCCTGTACATCTATAATATATAATGTTATTTTCTTACAATTAATGATTAATAAGTGTGTAAGCACTTAAATGTTGCACTTGGTAAAGGTGGGGCCGTTTTAACTGCTTTATAGTTGAATTTACAACAAAGCCTCCTAATTCATTTGTTGATTATGTTTAATATGACACATCTGGTTCTGTGAATTACAGCTCAGTGTCATTAAAAAGTAGCAATATTTCCCTCTGATATGTAGCAGAGTAGTTAGAGGGGTCATACAATGGAAATAAACAAATAAATTACATGAAGGCTACCTCAAAATTGTACTAAAGTACAGTATTTAAATGCATGAGTACCTTGTTTGCATGAGTGAATGTAGTTACTCCCCACTACTGATTATTAACAACAATAGCAAGGCTTTAATAAAAAATTAAACATATGTTTGGAATAAGTCATAAAGACTCGTAAAATGTATAATAACCTGCTTTCCTGTTAAAAAAAAAAAAATTACGTCATTCAGTTACCAAGTTGTGTTTTCTACTACTTCATATTTGTAATCTTTTATGCTGAAAGCAAAACCGGCCCATTTCCGCTTTCACCCTGCCTGCGTCTGTCTGACTTGACACAGCTTTGCTCGAGAACCGCACAAACACAGGAAGCCGGTCGGCTCCACACAGAAAGAAAAGGGCTGGGCCTCCATGCATCGAGCATGGAGGCCTTTTAACGCACTATCGACACACACACCCTCGAGTTACCACCTTTTACACCAACCTGCATGTTTGCATAGAAACAACTCACACGAGCGGTGAGGCAGGTGGGGCAGAAGCAGCCCCCCCCCCCCACACAAACACACACAGCATCCTTGTGGACATGCGCATGATCGAGTGTCAATATTGGTAATCATGGGTGTGGCAAGTGAGCAATCTCAGGAGTGATGCTGGGTATGTTAGCATGGGACATGGGGGGGAAATAGCATTATTCAGCACCATTATAATGAATAACACTGTTTTTAACTACCTTCTTCAAGTATTGATCTACTGTATAGCTAAATAACAGTATTTCATTACATCATGCTTCTCAATTGAGTGTTTGGTCAGTGATATTTGGTGATTACCTCCTTATTAATAATACATTTGTCAGAGCTCAGTCAACGCAGGTGGTCTGTATTCTACCTGAGTTGCAGCCTCAGCTTCCAAAAACAGCAGATCAATGTATAGGTATGCACATACTGAATTCTTAAAGGGCTGCCAGCTGTGCACCCAAAGGTGCTACGACCGCTGTCACCTTTCTGTACTCTCAAGGCAGGTTGAATATAAAGCAGCTACATAATATAGTATATGTGTAACAGATTTAAAAATGTACTTTATTATTCTGTTGAGTATGTGTGAATTCTATCTTTATGAGCTATTTTTATTTAGCATTTTATTTTGTTAATTCTTCCTGCGGAAGCGGCGTCTCGCCTCTTTTGTACCTCCAAAGCACCCGTAGTCCCGACTTGCCCTCACAGTGGTGTTTCGTACTGTTGAGGGTAAGTTGTGTGGAATAATGTTGTTGCACTGTTTTGTTGTTTTCTTCGGGAATGTAACTGTTTACGCTACGTACTTTAGTAACTGCTAAGGCGATGACCTTATCAAGCTGTTACGTGCCGTTTTGACTGGAAAATATAAGTTCAGTGGCTGTTTCAGTTAGCCTTTTTGGCGCCATTTACTTTTACGTCAGGCTGCCCTGTCATATAACGTAACGACGCAGATACTTTGGCATTCCTTTGTGTGAATTCTGTTGTCTTGCATGTTTAGGAGCGGATGTATAAAGAGAGTGAGATCAGGAAGAAACTGTGATTTATGTTGTCTTCTGCAGGTATGTATTTTCCTTTGTTTAACGTTATAATTTTCGCGGGTTCTGTTAATCATTCCACCTCATGTAGTTGTTCGTTTTGTCCATTTGATGTCGCTGTTAGTCCCGACTTCCACAGACAGTGGTGTTTCGTACTGTTGAGGGAGCGGATGTATAAAGAGAGTGAGACCAGGAAGAAACTGTGATTTATTTTGTCTTCTGCAGCGAATAAATGCTGGAAAGCTACCCTCTGAGTTGTCTCCTTCAATGCCATTCCAAGTCTGTTACATAAGTTACATAAACAGAGGATATTTTTAAAGATATGTATTGATCCTACCCGGCATGGATCTTTTGTGTTGAGTCCACTGCAGAGAGGAAACAGCTGCTCCAGTTATTCATCACAAACCCACAACCAATCTCCACAAACAGAAAAGATAAGCTTTTGGTTAAACAGACCTCGACTCAACGTTTAAACGACGGGGCAGGGCGAACCAGTCTGACAGGGTGAAAGAGGCGACCTGGCAGTGGGGAGACACACACACACACACACAACATGAGCATGCATGCACAAAGCCTCAACTCAGACACTCAGTGTAACACTTAACTAAAGCTTCAGCTCCGTAAAGCAACTTAAAATCCATCCGGCAAAAGGTGAGCTTGCACAGACGACACTGATACTGTAAATACTGCTCCACCCCGCTCTGTCTGGAAGTGTTTGTTGCTGACTTATGGCTATGAAGTCATTGTTTTGCCCTGCTGCCCATGGTTCAAATGTCAACATCAACAACAACCCTGTGTGGTGAGTTAGGTGGAAGGGTTCAATGTGATTTGTGGTTTCTGAACTCAGCAGTCACATTTTAGGTGTTTTACTGCCACCTTGTGGGTGTTTGCTGTTATTGCAGCAACAAACAGAACATGTGGACCACATCCAGATGTGACTTGATGGTAAATGTGCTTTCTCAGAGCTCACACCAGTTTGCTTTTTACCCACACACAATTTGTATCCGTAAGAAGAAAGAACAGCACAATATTTCACATGGAACTTTATTACTTACTCGTGTCGTCCTCGTATTATAACCGCCTGTCCAAAAAGGGTCACCAGGTGGCTGCAGAGAGTTCGTGTCAGGTTAATAATGATGTATTATAAATAGCAACATGTAGTACAAATGTTGAGTTGCAAGACAAGTTAAAGAACATTTACACAGTACATTTCTGATAGAAAAACGATCCTCTAAAATCTAGTGCCAATTTCCTTCAATGTCCCAGTGCAGTTTAACAGCTGAATAAAAGAAACGCGTCGTACATCAGCTTCAGTAAAGGCAGAACCACCACAACAATGGATACACTGAGGGGCGGGACCAAGGCCTTTGATTCAGTGTGGAAGTATTTTCATGGTATTTGAAGAGTATTTTACTTTCTTCCAAAACATTAAAGGGATAGTTTGCCCCCGTCTATTGCAGTAACTACTGTCTGTTTCCCCAAATTGGGGGCGTGTCATCTGTCATCTGCTGTAGGAAATAAACTGACCATAAATAGGTACCTCAAACAACCCAAAACACCCAAACTATCCCTTTAACATGCCTTTGAATGGAGAAACTGGTAAAAATATATAAAAAGTTAACCGCGAGAAGTTTGTCTTATATTCCCACCGTTCACTCTCCTTGTCTGAAAAAGTTAGAATCCCTAATACAGACTATAGCTTCGCCTACGTCTAGCATGAGAGCGAGAGGTACAGAAAAGACACAGCGTGTCTAAACGCAGAGCTTTCCTTTTGAAACGGTGACCCGCGTGGTCCAGTATAGAAGCTACATGACAGGGTACCAGGCCTGGTATTACAGAGAACACCTCTCACTATGAGGATGCATCATTCAACATTAAATATAAGTTCTGTACCTGGATTTTATCTTCATATTGACACTTTTTCCACCACACAAAATGAGAAATTCTGCAGCTATTATCGCCACTGAATGTCATTACATGATACTACGGTACTTCTAAAATAAGAACGTTACAGCCGGGCTTTCGGGTCTGCCAGTTCAGTCAGCTACAATACACCTCTGTCTCAGTAAAGCACAGATGTTGAGAGGATTTCCTATCTTTTAGTGAGTGTTAATCATTGTTTTAGTTCAGTAGAAACTCTGGGCTCGGGTAGCCGAACAGCTGAAAGTCCCCCTGGTATCGTGCGTAGAGACGCCTGATGTCCCGCTTGCTGATGCCTGAGAAGTATTGCTCCACCTTGGTCCTGTTGTAGCGGGTGATGCCTGGAGGAATATCCGGGTAGGACACCATGCCGGTGATGCCCGCTGCTTTGAGGATGTGGGGCGCGTCTTGCTCCAGTGTCTCATGGTGGCCCACCACGCTGTAGTGGATTTCGCACGGCGCGCACAGCTCCGCGTAAGTCACCCAGTGGATGATGTGCTCGCCGAACTGCCGGTCCATGCGCTGGCGGCCCTCCACATCGCCCAAGTACCGGACAAAGTCCTCAAAGTGCAGGCCGGAGGCGGCGAGGTTGCTGTCGCGGTGGATCTTGCGGTACTTGCGGATGATGGCTGGGGCGATGTCGTGCTTGTACCACGGCTCGAAGCGCGGGTTCTTCACAAACTTGTCCTTGAAGGCAGAAATCAGGCGCTCGAAGGGGTCTCTCACGATGAAAAATTTAAAGTAAGTGCTTAATCTGTGGAGACAAACGAGGGTTTTAAGAAAATAATTGTTGTGAGGGGTCGAATCCCTCTACTTGGCGAGTCTTAAACCAACCTGTGAGTAATCTCCTGCGGCGTGAGTGACGACAGACGGGGCAGGCCGTTCTTCTCGTGGTCATGAACGAGGTTTTCTGGGATCTCCTCCACAGACGGGAACGCTCCTGCCAATGTTAATAACACAAGTCATCCACTGAATTAAACAATTATGTTTGCCCATGTTTTACTCTCTAAACATTGTTATTACCCTCACTTACCATTGAGCACAATGAGGACCTTCTTCCACTGTGTGTTGCCCACTTTCGGCGTCTGGCAGAACAAGATCTTGTGTTTGTCGCAGACAAAGATGCGGTCCAGGACAAACTTGCTGATGGCGGCGTGAGTCAGATTCCTGAGGCTGCTGTTCTTGCACACAGTTGAGAGCAACTGGACTCGCTTATAAACGACCGGCTGCCAATCTGTCCCTGTAGGCACCGCTGAGGGCTGACACACAGATATACAACATTAACGTGAATGAATGAAGTGTTATTGCAGAGATTAATGGGAGTATAATCAGCTGCATTAGTCACCTGGTCAGATGGTTTTGGGGCTGGTTTCACTGGGCTGGAAACAGGGATGGGTCTAACCACCTTGGTGCCTGGTACCGTCCAACTCTGACCACCGACCCTCTCTCCGTAGTCTGAAAACACACATCAGAGATGGGGTGATCACATGTACCCCGATCGCTGCCTGTAGTAGTCAATAACAGACATGGCAGCTGACCGTCTACAGCTCTGAAGCTGATGAACTTGCTGACGAACATCAGGATGAGCAGCACCCAGCCGCACGCCCCAAGGAGCAGCCAGTGGTGCCGCATCGCTTCGCCCATCAGCCGACGGCCATGGAAACACCGACGCTCCCACCTGGACACGCTAACTTAGCTGTTAGCTTAGCTCAGCTAGCGTGTCAGTTAGTTAGCCGAACAGCTAGCCACACCTGTCCCTCCCAGATATGAAGCAGACGACTTGATCCACGCGAAGTGTTTGTCGGTGAGGTTCATTCAGTGTCTAAAACTGACTCCAGAGCAGCCTTGCGTCTTAGCTTCTTATTGAGTTACAGCTACTTCACAGTTGCACAAACTCTGGAGGAAATGTAGTACGCTGCCATCATCGTCTCTGTACTTCACAACATCCGACTGCTAGCGAACAAGTCGCTCCCTCTAGTGGCAGCATGGTGGTAGCGCTCATTTACTGCTGCCATCTGTCTCTTACTGTCTCCAGCTGTTTACTCTGGGAGTTTGATCGTCTAATATATTTGAAAGAATGGTTGTATAAAAAAAACACATGTATGCCATCTTAAGTTTCATGTCTGTTATTTATTGAGCATGAAGCAGCTGTATGTATTGTCTTTAGCATCAGCACTGGAATAGCTCTAAATGTCTTAACCTATAATTTGAACAACATTTAATTCTTCTGCAGTTTAATGAGTGACTAAATTGTTTACTGTCCACAAGATCTCAATGACCTGCCGAGGCACCTTTTGCTACCAACCCATTTGTATTTTAAATACTTTAAAGCCAGAACAGGATCATCACTCAAGACTGAAACAATATCTTTGTTGTAGAAAGAGACATGGTCTGTCTGCATATTTGATACTATGCTCTTTATTGGGGAAATGGTAGTTGCAGTCCAGTTAGCTTTCATACCCAGCACGGCACAACAACACATCTGTATTCGGATCGAGTTGTAATTGACTTTTAGAATAAATAGTTTAAAACATGACTATTCCTCTGAAATGATTATAACATTAATACAAATACAAAACACTCCAAATATAACATTCAGTGCAGAAACAGAAATAAAGACAGAAGACAAGAGGTCCTTTTATTTTATTTATTCGACTCGCAGAGTTTAGTTCTCATCAACATTGACTGTCTGCAGACCTGTTGGAAAAAGAAGTAAAAGATTAATTAAATGTCTTTACTGCTTCAGGAGGCGAATGACTGTGTCAGTTAGCGGCGTATTCACCTTTGCATGTGGTGACAGGAACGTATGTGACCAGGGTGTACAGTTTGTTGGGGGAGTCCTCGTCCTCATTACGCTTCCTGGACAGTCGTACGCGCATCCTGTATGGCACGTTTCTGCACATCACAAAGTTACAATCATAACTAAATGCAAACTAGTCAAGATGTTGCCCAATTGGTCAGCAGATGTGTCACGGCCTTGTTGACAGTATTGAATCAGAGTGACGACAACTCCTCCCATCATCTTGTATATTCATGATGCACAGCGGTCAGAGTATGTTCACTGGCTACACATTAAAAAAATCATAAACCACTCTGACGTCTCAGTCCTTGGTACAGAAGGCACTTCTTGTCTGAGCTGACAGACGGGTGGAGAAATTAACAATTTCACATAAACATTTCTTTTTACAACATCCGTCACCCTTCTTAAATTCAAGCAGGTGGCAGTCACTAAATGAAAAGTTTAAGTGATAAATATCAGACTAAAACACACCGTTTCTCTATATCATGCAGTCTCACAGAAACACAATACAAACTATGCTTTTTCCCTGCACCACAAACTAATAAGAGCACAAGAATGCAAAGTGAGAGGAGGTTTATACCAACAGCAAACTTAGTCACGAGTATAAATGGGAGTATCATCTCACCTGACACCCTTGCTCCACACTGCCTTGTTGAGGCGAGTGTCAATACGGACATCAGGAGTTCCCATCTCCTTCATGGCGAACTTGCGGATCTCCTTGATGGCGCGGGGAGCCCTCCTCTTGAAACCACTGCAAGGAGAAGACACCATTAATCTCACCGAATTGATCAAATCCAAAACATACACTAATTTTGTCTCCTGTGAGCAAATAAAAGATTTACTGTTAATCACATCTGGATAAACAATTTATAGACACATGGGCTTGCTGTACTCACATTCCATGGATGCGCTTGTGGACGTTGATGGTGTACTCTCTGGTCACTACTTCGTTGATGGCTGAACGCCCCTTCTTTTTCTCTCCTTTCTTGGTCGGGGCCATCTAGAAACAACATACATGGATCACTGCATGAGCATATGAATGCTACGTTAAGTGTTAACGTTATATCACAAACACGTCTAACGTTAGCATAAAGCTAGCTTACTCTCCCTAACGTTGCTGTACATCAGCTAGCCTGCAGGCTAAAGGGTACGATATACAGCAATTGTGCTAAATAAGCAACTTAAACTACCAGTGGATTAAGCTAGAAACAATATAAACACTGTTTCTAGCTCAAACTGGGCACTGGACAGGCAGGCTAATCGAAGCAGTTACGGTCGAATCAATGCCGTAACGTTCTTCGACTTTAAATGTATTTTAATACGCTATACCACATAAAAAAACCACACACGAAGGACAACGCAACACTAATGTGTATATTTGTAAAAAATACGCGGTCAGTGCTGTCTTAAATATCACAGGATGGTGATAGATTGTAGAAATAAAATTTCCGAAAGAATACTCACTTCGGCTCGTAGTTGAGGCGGAAGTCGGAAGGACGGACCAAACGCAGAGAATTGTGGGTAAAGGAAACCGGTCCGTTTTATATGATGTTCGTCAACAACAAACGTAGGAGTAAAGGTTCCGAGAACAGACGTTAGCAGTGTGAGTTTATGAAGACAAGAGATGGAAACTTTTGCATTATCAGACTTTATAAAGAAAACATGGACACAAAATAAAAAATGTATGAAAAGTATTTATGTGCAACGTAAAGATTCAGCTTATGTCACTTATAATCACAATAATAATGATCCGTTTTTCTTTTGATCAAGAATGTCAGCTGACCTGTGTGGTGAGGTACAATACTGAATAACGTAATCACACGCGATGGGCCTTTGCATACCAACGTAGAAGCATTAATTAAGGCTTTGAACCAGCTTATAAGACAGACAATAAGAAGAGGCATTTCAACCATTCACAGTAAAATAGATGCTTTATTTTGAGTGTTAGGCTTATGAGGTCTGCAACCAGCTATGAGACACCTGCTCTACTGTTGTCTCAAGTCTTCATCAAACACTTGTATTAAATGCCCTAAAGCTGTCATTTGAACACAATTGTAAAAGTTATAAAATTGTGTGTTTCCTCAGAAGAGGCTATGGTTACATGTCAAATTCAACACTTACCTCAAAATGCAAAAAGTCGCATCTCGTAGCTCACTGTGGGAATTGAATGTGGCAATCCTGATAAACTAGCTTTACATTTAAGTCCTCCAGGTCCAAAGTTGCCGTTATTTGGCAAAATGTCATCACAATGTGAAAAATGTCATTCATTTATTTTTCAGTAAAAAAAATAATAAAAATACAACGTTAAATCAGATATCACTTGCACATCTCAAAATTGACCTTCTACCTTAGACAAAATAAATATCAAGTAGGAAAAGAGTCAGATTTAAAGATCGGGGGCTACTTCAGAGCCCACTCTCTCCACGTCTGTAATGTCGCTTTGATTTCAAGTCACAGTTGCGTGGCCGGGAGGAGGTGTCATGTTGAATCCAGGTCTCTACGATAACAGCCTTTTCCCCACTCCAATTATGCTCTTTATGCTGTTTCAGTGAAACACTGAAGCTGGTTTGTCCATTGATTTGCATCCAAGCACTCAAAGCATGCATGACCTGCACTTTTCAAGTGTCAATTGTTGAACTAAGAGTGATGATACAATCACTTCCCAGAGGTTCAGTTTATCCACCTGTACAAGTCTTTTTTAGTCTGACTCTGGATGGTCAACCACTGGAACACAGAAGCTCAAACTATTTATCCTTTTTAAAAACTAAGCAGTCTAGTGTCTTTTCCTATCAGGACATTTTGGCTCCTCATTTTGATGGTGTGGGCTGGTGAACGTTAAGGAGAGGAAGTCCACATGTGGAGTGTTGGAGGTCTGGTACGCTGCAGTTTACATGGTGCTCTGCACTCACTTCATTTCAGGTAGACATTGCCAAACCATTCAACACAAATACATCAAGGAATAAGCAATAACGTCTGCAAAGACTAACACGTGTAAGAAATTACATTCAATGACGGAATAGTTTTGCAGTGCTTATTTGTGAGAAACGTACATTCAAGTCCCTGCAGGATACTTCAGTGTTGCTGGTCAGTAACACTCTGCAGCAAACGCTGTAGATTTGCTCTGCAGATATTTTGTAATACGACCAAAAACAAAAATAGCAATAACATCAAGAGTCACATGATTTGAAGGCCGAACAGTCACTTCATACAAAGCAAAAGACCCGTTACAAAAATGGACATCTAACCATTTTAATGCAGTCGTAGAAACCAATGCACAATAAACAAAAACAAAATAGTCATTTGAACTTGGTTAGGCAGGTGAAACTGACAGTGAAAAAGATGCTCTAAACCATTGCAAAGCACAAAAAACAGAAATTTTAGGGTTTTACGCCTCTCATACATGTTTCATAACACTCCATAGGCTTGAATGTCCAGTAGTCTATGGCAGAGAACTTCATCCAAAATATGTAAAGCACAACTGAGTGAGACTCACAAGTTTGACGTTTTCTTTTTATTTCCTCTCATGACTAAAAATGCTATGTATGAACTGAAACGGGACAGAGTCAGACGTGTTCACTTTCATGTGTTTGACTAATCAAAACCCATTTCTCTTAGGACACACACACCTCTGGCTGCGCTGTGCTGAGCTTACTGCTACCAGCTGGCGCAACCTCGGCTGCTGGTACCGACCCACTGGCTTCGGCCCGCTCTGGGCCCGCGGCGGGGCCAGCCACGGTCCTTCTGAAGAGACGCATGCTCATCTGCAGCAGCTCGTTGTCCACCACGGGCGTAGCGGGGTACTGCTTGGTGAGGCCCTGAAGAAGGAGAAGCAGATTTAAAAACACATCTCTCTAAACAACGCAATTGAGAATGCAGCCAAGATTGACGCAGAGTAACTGCAGTATTGGATTCATTCTACCTTGTCATTTTTTAACAGCTGCCGGCGGATGGCGAAGTCCCTGCGGGCGCACAGGGCCTTGCAGCAGGGCCCAAGGTTTCTCAGCAAACCTGCCCTCTCCACCCGCCTGTTCAGGGCGGCCATATTCAGAGCCCCCAGGTCATGCTCAAACAGCTTGTCAGCATCTGGCAGGACAGAGTGGACAAAGTTTTAGACGAATGGATCACACTAAACAGACACTAACCCATGTTGCCAATTTAAAATAGAAGAAACATAACGAAGGCAAAAACAACAAGCATTGGTGTTAAATGCTGAAGATGTCCAAACTCTCACCTTTGGGGTCGTCCAGCTCAGACTTGCACACCTCTCTGACTTGCTCCAGGAGCTCAGGCCCAGCGAGGCGCTTGGAGATTCCCGCCCTAAGAAGCACGGCCCCTGGGGTGAACCGGAGCAACGCTGCCCCCGCTGCCCGCGGCTCTGGCTTTGTTTTGGGCATCAGGCTGGACCAGTCCACATCAATGACATCCAGAGGACCTGTCGACACACGGCAGTGATGTTGATTTAAAAAGGAGCATCTGGGTAGCGTACATATATATATATATATATATACATATGTATATGTAATCACTTTTTCACACAGGGCCATGTAGGTTTGGATTTTTTTTCCCCCTTAATAATAAAAACCTTCATTTAAAAACTGCATTTTGTGTTTACTTGTGTTATCTTTGTCTAATATTTAAATTTGTTTGATGATCTGAAACATTTAAGTGTGACAAACATGCAAAAAAAATAAGAAATCAGGAAGGGGGCAAACACTTTTTCACACAACTGTATGTGTGTGTGTATTTCATTTTTCTAAGTATTTCTTGGTACCTGTAATTTTTTCATCGTCTTGCTGATCCTCTTTTTTCTGGCTGTCGGCCAGAATTTCGTCCAGCTCATCATCACTGATCGGTTCATACTCCTCTCCCACAGACGCAACTGACTGGCCATCGTCTTCTTTCCCATCATCGTCTCCTGAGAACACAAAGACTTCATGTTGGAAATTCGGAAAGAAAGTGACAAAATAAAGTGTTTTGATCTTCTTACCATCGATGCTGTCCGTCTTCTCCAGCTCCCGTTGCTCTCCTATGACATGGTGACTGTTGCTTGGTTTCTCCGGCTCTGGAGGGCTGAAGGCCTCTCTTGGCAGCAGAGGCTCATATTCGCTCCTCTCCTGTCTCATCAGGTCGCCCCTCAGGTCGCCCCTCAGGTCGCCCCTCAGGTCGCCCCTCAGGTCGCCCCTCAGGTCGCCTCGTGCCGGGGCCCTGGGGTCTCCGTGGGGCGGCAGGTCCATCATCATCATCCTCTCCCTCTCTCGATCGCCGCCTCGGTCACCTCTACCGTCTCTCTCTCGCTCTCTTTCCCGTTCCCGCTCGTGCTGCTGCATGAGTCCTTCGGGGAGCAAGCGTTCCCTGTCCCTGATGTCCCGCTCCCTCAGGAGAGGTTCCCGGCCAGGCCGCATCAGTAGGGGCTCCCGTGCCCTGCTAGGCCAGTCCCTGGGTTCAGGCTCCCAGTCTCTTGGCTGTTGTAGGGGCGGTTGGAGGAGCAGGGGCTGCTGCTGCTGCTGCGGTTGCTGCTGCTGCTGAGGCCGGAGGTCCTTTCGGTCTCGTTCCCGCTCAAACGGCTCCCTGTCTCTCTCCCGTTCTCGACTGTCGTAGGAGCCGGCGCGGGACTCTGACCTGGCCAGCCTCTCAGAGTCAGGGGAGCTGCGCCTGGAGCTGTGGCTGTGTGAATCCTGGCGGTCTGGAAGACAGCAGAGACAGATATGAGTTAAGCTGGAATCAGAGTTCAGTGTTATAATTAAGCATGATCCTGTCAGTAGCGTTTACAAAAAGATAAATGTGGTGTCAAGATGTGTGTTCATCTACCTGAGGAGGTGCTGCGACTGGGCTCTCCTCTCCTCAACTGGTCGATTCGAGACTTCCTCTCGGCCACCGGAGGGTCAGTCACGACTGGCCTCTCCCTTTCCCGCTCTCGGTCCCGAGAGTTGGCACCCTGCAGCCTGCCCCGGCGGGGTCGTGGACCTTGGGGGTCTTCTCGGTGCGCTGACTCGTTGGAGGGTGATCGCAAGCGTCTGGATGACGTGCGGCTCTGGTTGCTCCCCATGCTGCTGCTGCGCGTCTGCTCCGGGGGCAGTTTGCGGAGCAGCGGCTGGGACATGAGGGGCTGCGGAGTCAGAGTCGGCAGCAGCAGTATTGGAGGATCTTGGGGGAGCAGAGGGGCGATGGGAGGAGGGTGGCACCGCTCCCTGTCCCTGCCCACTCTGGGGACAACACCTCTCTTAAGATGCTCAGCCGGAGCCGGTGGAGGTTGTGTTTCCAGTGGTGCTCCTCGGTCTGTGACCTCCTCATCTGACCAGTCACTGAAGTTGTCCATTTTGGACAGAGGAGATGGCTCTGTGATGCCTCCAGTACCACGGTGATCCGGCCTCATCGACGGTGGTGGCGTCCTGGGCCCTCGCTTCCTCTTATTATGTGGCTGAGGGGCAGATAAATCTTCATCAGACACATCAGATTCTCCCTCTCGTGACCGTTTCCTCTTTCGATCAAGCGCCTTCTTCTTGGCTCCTTTCTTGGGCGAGTGTACGGGTGGAGGTACGTCTACAGCACCGCTGGTTGGGGGCTCGGACTTGAAACGTTCTCCCGCACCTGCCAGAATGTTGCCACCGCCAACCTCCTCTTCCTTGCGACCCTTCTTCAGTCCCTTCCTCTGAGACTTTGTCTTCTTTTTACCCTCCTCGTGGGACTGTGAGCCAGCAGTGTCTCTGTCTTCGCTGGAAGCGGCGAGGGCCGAAGGAGGGGGGGGCGGGGGAGGCGGCGTGGACTCTCGCTGGTCTCTGCCTCTGCTACGAGAGTCGGACGGGGTTTCCACAAGGGGCTCTCCTCGCCTGTCGCCTCCTCTGGTGCGTTCCCCGCGAGGCTCCAGGTCCTCATGGCGGCTGCGTGCTTCCCTTTTGTCAGCGGCTCCTCTGCGCTCCTCATCCTTCCAGTGAGCGGGCTTCTCATCAGTCGGAACAGCCCTCGGGGGAGAACGCAACAAGGGCTCCTGGGGCCGCACCACCTGGCTCAGCATGCGATTTTTGTCAGCACCTGCACATGAAAAGTCACATACCACACTCAGTACTTAGCATAAAAGCAATCATTCTCATATCAGCTTTGACAACAGACTGTTTATCTGTGCCATTTCCAGGAAACCAGTTGATGTTCATTGGCCAGAACATGATTAACAGCTTATTTCCCTTGAACAACTTTTTTTTTTTGTAATGGCAGTACACGAGCAGTGAATTCCCCAACAAACACGAGTGTGTCCTTGCAAAAATATTTCCCCTACTGTCAGGTGGATGCAGACACACTGGGCTGGGGAGGAGGGGCGGAGGGTGGAGCTTGGCCGGCCCTCGGCCGATCGGGCGCTCACTTTTCTCTTCTGCACTGTTGTAGCCGTCGCTGTCTGCAGGACTGACGTCCCGAGCAGCTCGCTTCGGCGAGGCCCTTGGGCTCGGGCTGCTCTCCACCCTGGGCCTCTTGCGACTAAAAGGAGAGAGGAGGAGAATTATTACACATACTCCTCAAATACCAGTAAACATAAACATTTGTAAACTTGAGGATTAATTGTGGAGGCTGATACGTGCCTCGTCTTGCGGTCATCCCGGGTGTCTCTGATGGGCCGGTCGTCCCTGGTGTCATCTCTCCTCTCCCGCCTTTCCTCTCGCCCTCTCTCTCGCTCCTCCCATTCCCGCTGCCTCTCTCTCTCCCGCTGCTCCCTCTCTCTCTCCCGCTCCCTCTCCCGCTCCTTCCTCTCCCTCTCCCTCTCCCGTTCCTCCCTCTCTCGCTCCCGCTCCTCCCGCTCCCTTTCCCTCTCTCGCTCTCTCTCCCTCTCTCGTTCCCGCTCCCGCTCTCTCTCCCTGGCCCGCTCCCTCTCCGCCTCCTTCTCTCGCTCCTTTTCCCTCTCCCTCTCTCGGTCCTTCTCTTTCTCCCTCTCTCTCTCCCGCTCCCTCTCCCTCTCCCGGTCACGAGTCCTGTCGTCTCTTCTCTCCTCCGTTCTATCTGTCCTGCGGTCCTCCCTCCTCTCCTCCCTCTCAGGCTCATCTGATCTCCCCTGGTGTCTATTTGGAGAGGCTGCTCTTTGATCTGGGAAACAGAAAATTAAAAAGCTTAGCCAAACACATTTTGGATAAAAAACTACCATACAATACGATGTTTTTTGCAGGCTTAAAATAAAGCAAATCCTCACCTCCACCTCTCTCTCGGTTGTCTCTGCGATCCCGCTCTGCGTGCCCTCCTCTCCTGTCGTAGGAGGAGTCTCTGGCCTGCTCTCCTCTCCTGTCACCCTCATAGCGATCTCTGTCTGCGCCCCTCTCAGAGCTCCTTTCGGTAGCGGTGCGGTCGGTGCTCCTCTCTACACTCCGCTCACGCACCGCGCTGCTCCGCGACTCCCAGTTGTCATGGCTGTTCTCCAGCTGGGAACCCCGGGAGTTCCTGTTTGAGCCTGAAATTAAATAACAGAGGAACTTTAATGTGCTGTAAGCATTACCTAAAAACCTCGTTACTAAACATTTCCTTATGGCCACAAATAAAACCCACTATGGAACTGAAAGCACAATGTGATGTCAGTTCTTGCCTTTATCAGAAGTTTCAGTAGCACGCCCTCTCCCTCGTCCATTTCTCTCAGTTCTGTCTGTCCTGTTGTCCGTCCTTCCTTCAGCTCTTCCTCCGTCTTCCCGTCCATGACCTCTCCCATAACTCCTGTCCTCGTGAGCCGGTTCCTCCTTCCTGTGGGTGTCAGTCCTCTCCCTCTCTCTCTCCTTTTCTCGCTCTCTCTCCTTCTCCTTCTCCCGGTCCCTCTCTCGTTCCCGTTCGCGGTCACGGCGCTCCAGCGACTCTCGACTGGAGCGGGTCTCTGCTCTGCTCTCTCTGGAGTCCTTCACGTCCCTGTTGTCTCGATTGTCACGAGAATCTCGGGTCGTTTCCCTTCCTCGGTCGCGACCGTCCCGTCGCTCACGAGCCTCTCTGGTCTCGCGGTCATCGCGAGCGTCCCGTGATGAGACCTGTTCAGAGTCATAGTCCCGTTCGTCGCGCTCTTTTTCTCGCTTGCTGCGGCTTTCTGTTTATAAGAGAAACAAAGTTTAACAACTGATGAAAGAAATCATTTGAAATGCAATTGCTTAATTGATCAGAATTGTGGCAGTTTAATTTCCTGTTAATCATAAAAGTGGTCAATGTGTTAAATTGAATGTGTTAAATATGGTTAAAAAAAAGATAAACTATGAGAGAAACAAGAAAACACAGCACTAGAACAGAAAGTCACCATCTCTGCGCTCATGCCTGCGCTCCTGAGCAGGCGGACTCCTCTCTCTTTCACCACGGCTCCTCTCGCGGCCACTGGAGTGGCGCTGGCTGGGGCTCGATCTGTCAGATCGGCGGTGTGGAGAGGCGGCGCCGTGGGAGGCGGGAGGTGATCGGGAGCGCCGGGAGCTCGGAGGGGAGGAGGCAGACGCCGGGGCCGCCGCGCTCCGGTGGTAGGTGGGAGAGGACGAGCGCCGGCGGCGAGGAGACGAAGAGTGCCGCTGGGCAGAGGAACCCGAGTGGGAGGAGGGCGAGTGGTGGCGTGGAGGAGTGGGGGTGCGCTGGTGGCGTGGAGGAGAGGGTGACCTGCAGTGACAAAGGAGAGACATTTAATGATTAAATCATACTGTTATGATCATTCTAACAAATAATACCAACAGACAGACTAGTTTTGTAGCGATTAACGCCTTCTGCAAGAAAACCTTTGCTCCGTGGCCCAGGTGTGCTTACCTGCGAGGAGGGGAGACCAGTGTGGGGGTCTTATGGGACGAAGCCTTCGGAGAAGTGGATTTCTTCCTGGCTGGGGGCGAAGTGCCCCTGGAGGGAGATGACACACTACCGGAACGCTCCTCTGATGTCATTGACCGCTTGGCCTTGTGGGAACTGTCTGATCGGTCCCTATGTTCAAAAAGAGGAATCCTTCGATAAACGACCACACAGAACACCAATAAGAAGATTCAGCTTAATGTTGATTACACCATTACTCCGATCCACACTTCACCTGCGTTTCTCCTTCTTCTCTTTGTGTTTTTCTGTATCTCGCCCCCGATCTTTCGCCTCCTTCTGCTTCTCCACAGACTTCTCCTTGTTCTTGTGCTTGCCTTTGTGTTTCTTCCCAATTACAGGAATATCTAGAGGGACTGGGGGAGGAGGACTCGGGGTCCGGGGCCCTTTCTTCTTACTGTGGCTCCCTTTTGAAGGCCTGGACGGAAGAGGAGAGAATAAGTCTAAAGCACTTCTTGCTTCCCAAATGGCCTAACTTTCCAGCAAATGTCAGTGAAAACTGTTGAGTAGTTTATGAGACTCTTCATCCTGGAATCTAAAAATCAAATGCAAACCCAGACTCTTACCTGGTAGATTCTAAAACCGGCGAGGGCACTAATGCCTTCTTCTCTTTCTTTCCAGAGCCCGGGCCTTTGGTTCCACTTTTGTGTTTTGGGGATCCACTTGACTTCCTGGATGAGGGCGAGTCTTGCTTGCTTAACGGCTCTGGGGAGGCCTGAAGGACAGAGATGACAGATCAAGATGAAATTAAAATCAGAGTCCCTCCTACAGTCAGCTGCTCTCCTGGAAGTAGAGATGCTTTAGAAAACACTTTCCGGCTAAATACAAAAAAAGCATTCTCTTCTTCAGAATCCAAACAAAGGCAGAAACATACCTTCGGCATGGCGGTGGCTCTTGTTTTGGTGGGGGTCTCATCTTTCTTGATGACAATGTCCTCCCTCTTGTCCAAGTTCTCCTGCTCCAACTTCATCAGCTCACGCTGAATCTTCTGTCGCTTCATCTCAAGGGATAACTCGTAGTCGTAGTCACCGATATCTGAGTCTTAAACAAAAAAAAAAAGAGGCTTCTATAGAAAAATCTGAATCTTTGCACCTGTCATGTCAAAGCCCACATTGATGATATTTAGTTCATTTCAAATCTGAAAATCAAACGGAAATCCCCAAATCATAAGGTCACTTGTCCATAAAACTTGAACAAAACAAGCTAACCTTCGCGATTGGTTTCCCACTCTGTGGGCTCTTCTTCACTGGCTGGGGTGCGCTCCTTTGTGATCTTTATATCCTCCTTTTCCCTGTGTCGGCCTCTGGAAGAGTCTCTCTGCTGCAGAAGGATACGCACGCGGATGTTAGAACGACACCGGCATGTTGCGTCACTTCCTGTGCTTATTCTATATCGGCTAAATGTCTCGCAGTTCCAGGTTCAAAACAACAATTCAAGTTCCAAGTCAATTTACACATGTTGACAATATGTTGAAATTAGAGACCGAGGGAGCAGAGAACTCACTCTCGCTGTGGGGGATGTGGGCTCGTCTGGCTCTCGCTTCAAGTTTTCTGGGTCAACATCCTGTCTTTTATTCTTCATCCTCTCCCGCAGATCACCTGTGGGTCTCTCGGCTGACCTGCTCCATTAAGACAAACACAGACATGAATGCACACAACCTACGAGTCAACAACGCTATGGATAATAAGACAAGCAAAAAAACTAAAATCATGCACCAAAATAAATTAAAACAAGCCACCTTACCGGCTGAAGCTAAATCCTTTGCCTCGTGGCTGAGTTCCATGTGTGTAGCGACAAGTGTTGCCGTAACTGCAATTACCGGTCTTCAGCCAATTTCTGCAGTGACTCTGAAAGACGCATACAAATGAGCCTGATGAGATACAGGGACATCCACTATAATGAGACAAACATCACAGCAGGGATGCAACAAGGACACCAAGTTCAGTAGAACACAACACAGCAGGCTGCTAAAAAGGAAGTATTATGCATTATCAGGTTATACATACATCAGCAGCATTACTCCCAGTGCTGGGGCCAAGTCTTTCAAACACACTGGGCCGGCGGGACGGGGCGGCGGGGTTGCTGGTGCTGCTGGTCGTGGTGCTGCTGCTGCTGCTGCTATCAGATATGGTTTTTGAATTCTCCACTGTTACCTTCCGCCTGATCTTGGACATTCTGCAGGACTGGGAAAAAAGGACAAACTATGCTTAATGAAATGTCAACGATTAATCAGCAGCATCAAAACAACACCGAATAAGGCATAAGCATGAATGTAAAATAATTACTTCACATTGCACTAAAATATCTTTGCAGAGTGACTACACTGCCAATAGAGGCCTGATTCCATTCATTCTGGATCAGGGATAACGTTACATATTTTAGCACCATAAATTGCGACTAACAATCATTTAAATCAAGCAACCTTCTTTAAATATTGTAATATAAATGTGGCTACCTGCAGTTCTACTATAGGTGGCAACACATTCAAAACATAAACAACGCAAACGGCCTCTTGATGCAGGTGCTCCTCGAGCAGTCTCGCATGCTAGCTTAATGTTAGCTCCAAGTTCCTAGCTAACTGCACTATTATATTTGCTTTTGTTTACATGTTTTACATGCATACACGTGTATGTGAGATTGGAGATTGTTTCGCCCGTTAATGACTGACCGCCTCCTGCTAAAAACACACACAACTGAAGGGAGGCTAATGCTAAAGTTAGTGAATCAAAGAGCTAATGACTTCATGTTTTCTGTCAGCGCGGGGCCTTCGAGCTAGCTTCAGTCGCGTGCTTTATGGATATTGTAGCTAAAAATAAAGTCTCACCCAAGATATTGATTCGGCGTCGCATCGACTTGAGTCCAGGAAGTGGATTCAGCACTTGTAGAAATAACAAGGCTTATTCTTTAAAGTCAGGGGCAGAAACTGCCATTGGTCCCTTCATGGTGGCCGAGGGTGAGCGTTTGCCTTTTTCTTCTTCGGTGGTTTACGAGGCCGTTTGTACTCCAGGGTGTTGTTGCATTGCCGCCATTCACCGAATACTGGTCGTCTTCTTCTTCTTCTTTGGGGTTTATTGGCGGTTGGCAAACAACAAATTGTTGCATTACCGCCACCAATTGGTGTGGAGTGTGGATTAGGAGGTCTAGTACTTAAGTATTTGTATGCTTGTAGTTACTCATTGTGGCCAGTAGATGGTGGTAACATTGATGACGGGAAATGCAACCGTTACTAAATCAATTATTACCAATATTAAAGGTGATTATTGTATTTATAGTAATTAATATTGACTGAAAAAGGCTGGTTATAATGACTCTACAATGCAGATCCATCAAACTCGTACAGCAAAAAAATCCACATGTAGACAGATGTTTCCAATATCTAGTTTATGTTTGTATGTCGGGTGTGGACTTCATATTCACATAGCAAGTTTTTTATTCTTATTTATTTTCAATGCGGAGCTGCTTAGATTGCATTACATCGCACATGGATTCACATTGTTTGGATAACTGAATGTATATTAAGACCACACACATTATTAATATGACTATGACCTTAATATTGATATAGAGCAATAACAATCAATGTATTATCTGTGTGATGTATAAATGATGGTCTTAGCTTTCATTGGAGCTGCTTTCTAACAAATACAACACGAGTACTAAATGTGCTCAGGAAGTAAAAATAAACAGAAGAAAGACATTGACAATTCATCTGCACAGTTTTTATGTTCACAAAAATGACTTTAAACGTTGAACTATCCGCCTTAATTTGTAACTGCTCAGTCTGTTTGAACTGGACTTGGTGCAGTTTGTATTTTCTCAATAACCTTGAGAGCAACGGTCTTCACAGCAAGCAGAGCTTCGTTGCAGGCCCTGGAAATGAACGATGGTGGCAGGAGGAAGCCGTAGCGCCCGCGGTCCTGGAGCTCAAAAGTGAAGGAGTATTTGATGCCAAGGTTGTACGCCCAATCATCAGAACCGCCAGGAGCCAAATCTGGAGAACGGACAGAGCCAATCATGAGTTCTTTGTGAGTGACTGAATCGAGCCAAGCTGATTTTTGCCATAAAAAAGAAGCCCTTCTTACATATCGTCTTTGCCCCGGAACCATATCTGTAGGTGTTCCTGTAATGTCTTCTGATTAACTGGGCAGCTTCTTGAACCATCTCAAGCTTTTACAAAAAGACACAAACACTTTTCAGAGTTTCTATGTTTTATCCAAAGTGACAGGATCTGATCTTTTTTCTGTGGAAACATCTATGACTGTCCACTCACCAGGTCTTTGTGGTTCTCCGCCTCATCCAGGGTGCAGGAGTACGGGAAGAGCAGCATCTGAGAGTAGGAGTGGATGCTGAGGTAGATCTGAACCGAGTCCTTGTGACTGCGCAGGAAGCTGGCCACGGCACCCGTCTCTGGTTCCGACTCAGGAAACGCACCGCAGTAGATCTCAGTGCAGGGCTCATCAGAGGCCCCCTCCGCTGGAAGACACATCCCTCACCTTACAGATGCTACCGAGACTCCCATGTATGACAGAAAGAAGAGTTCAATGTTTTCCTCAAAAAGTAAGCGGACTGTAACTCCAGGGGAAGACTTACTGCACCAGTTGGCATCAAAGTTTCGGTTGAGGTCGACCCCAATGCAGTTGCTGCTCTTGCTGATTGAGCGGTTTTTCCTCCACATCCTGTTCTGAGACAAATTAATCTTAATGTTAAACAAATAAATCAACTAAATGTTATCTTTACAACTGCTCGAGCACTCAGCGATACACAAAATATGTGTTCTTACTGTTGTCCATGTGTACTGGTATCCATCAGGGTTCATAACAGGCAGGATGTAGACGTCCATGTTGTCCAGGATGTCAGTAATCTCTTGGTTTACCTTGTAAAATGACAACGCCTGTACAAGAAGGGACAACGATTTTAGCGCTAGACCAGTCTGAAACTGACCTGATAGAAAACAAACAAACCCATACAAGACATCCCCACACTATTGATACTACGTTACATGTACTCACATATTGTACAAACCATAAGCAGAAAGCAGGAGAGATCCACTCTCTGGCATGGATCCCACAGTCAATCCACATTGCTTTTTTATTCGGTCTGTTATTTAGAGACAACTGAGAAAGAGAGTGTCAAAACAAACAGCAACTCCCAAGTTAGCTCTTTGACTGGAAAACAAAAGTCTCTGAACACTTTTCAAATGAATATAATTCTAAGGGGGGGAAGATACTGATTAGCTTGTGATGAATGCATGCCACAAACATCTTTGTCACCACTGCAGCCTATCAGGCGATGGGTGGGTGTACCTTCAGAACATAGAGCGGTCGCTTCTCATATGAGGAGCCAATGAGAATGGTTTTAACTATGCTCGGGTTGTCCTCTTGGGTCCTGTTGATCCACCAATAGATCTACAATGGAGACAAGTGTGTTTGGATGTAAACTGTGATATTTACATGAAGTGCAGTACATCAATACACCAATAGTCCTGTAATAAAGCCCGTTTGTGAAGCTTAAAGTGTTAAATTTGTTGCATTAATGCCTTTCTGACACAAAATCAGCAAAAAAAAATGAATGTTACGAAGCTGGAAAAGCGTACATCCTCAAGACTGTGATATCTGTCGTAGAAAGTTGAGCTGCTTCGTGGGTCAGTGGAGTCGTTCCTCGTTTGCATTTCAATCAGCTCGTTGGCGTTGGCCAGTAACACCCTGAAATAAACACACAAGTAATTAACGAAAGCACCAAACTAAAGTGCACAACTCTGTCTTCAGACAAGCGACATACTCGTGTGTTATGGCGCCTTTCTGTAGCAGATCATTGACAGTCTCTGAGCTGTTTGCAGGAACAAACAGGTGGACCTCAGTTTCTTCTTTAATGTAGTGAGATGACACAGGCTGCCACAAGGCTGTCTGGGAGAAAACATGCAACACAATGATTAACAGACGGAAAATAAATAGAGGGATGCAATCACTGATAGAACAAAATCCTATTTCTACCTCATATTGAGTGGAAATATTCTTCAAGATGTCCACTTGTTCCTGTGTTTTCGGGGTGATTGATAGAATTTGGTCTCTGGATGAAAAGAAAAACAAGACATTAGTCAAAATACAATGTCTCCAGGGAATGATGCAGATCTTGGTAATGTGTCAATGACCTGTATCTGTGTTCGGGCACCACATCATACATGGTAGGAGGGTGTGTGTTTGCATAACTGTGTCACAACCTATTTTCTTTGTGGAAAACTATAACCATCAAGAAAATCAACTTACTGCGTTTCTGTGCAGCATCCTGTCTTCAGGAGTGTGTCCAAATTCATTAAAACAAACAAAAGCAAAAGAGTCCTCATGTTGTCAGGATCCAGACTGGAAATGATCAAGATTTATTCAAACCATGGAGGTAGGGACACAATATTGATTCAAACTGTGTTTATTTAGAAGTTAAACATTACTTCTTTCTTTTTTTTAAAGATGAGGGCATAGATCAGCCATCGTGGCCGAGAGGGAGCAGGTTATTATACTGTTGTTGCTGTACAGCCAGCAGGTGACATATTTGTATAGTTTACAAAAGACTAAAATAATATAATGGATTTTGTATCATTTAATTTTTCAATACAAGCTGGAAAAGGCAGTGCAGTAATACCTCCCAGCCGGTAGGTGGCGCCAGATAAATGACAGTTGGACAAACAGGAGGAGCGCGAGAACCTGGAAGAAGGTGATGTGTTGTTAGATTTCTCAAGGCAAGATGTCGGGCCACGATCAGTTGGTCCTCTGTTTGTGTGAATTAACAAGGTAAGATATTATACTAGGTTTCTAACCGAGTATTTAAAAAAAAGATGTAACGAAAATATACAACGCTAATGTGTTTGTTTAACGCTAAGCTAATGCTACTAGCCACGAAGAACAAGCTCATGTGACGTTCGTAGGCAGCACTCACTTCCTTCGTTGTAAAGTCTGTTGAATATTGTAACGTTATTCTGACTATATGTGCCAATAATTAATGCTCATTTAAACCTGAGTTATGTACGTGTATAACGCTATTTAAGTAGGACATTTTGATGAGCTACAACGTCCTATGTCACATCAATGTTCCTGTAGTTCTCCCTCAGCTTGTTTGCACATTTTGCTTTCATGTTGGAATTTAACATTTTAGGGTCACAGCCTTTAATCACAGCATAGTCTTTAAATCTGACTCTCAGAAGCCAACTCATCTTTACAAAGCATCAATTTGTTTCCCCTCCTTATTACTTAATCCTACTAGTTTTTATGCATTCTCTCTCCCCCTCCCTCATCGTTTTTTTCCCCACTGTGTTGTGTTTCAGGTTGCTGTGGAAGTTGCTGCTGCCCCTGGTGTTTCTGTGTGTGCTGCTGATCGCTGTCCTGGTCCTGCTGGTGCTGGCGGTGCGCTTCTGGCTTCAAAGCAGCAGGAACGCTCGGAGGGCGAGGGACGGCCGTCCCATGGTGGCCTTCTTCCACCCCTACTGCAACGCTGGTGGTGGGGGAGAGAGGGTGCTCTGGTGTGCTATCAGGGCGCTGCAGAGCAGGTAAGCTGATTTCATTAAAACTGTTACAAAGTCTTAGTGGTTTGCAGTTTGGTGTGTCCTCTTTCCCTAATCTATGTGCTTACTAGTTACTGATTTACGGCATTTTCCAAGATGGCGTCACATTCAATTTAAACTGAATCTTTAATTTCATCTTCTGCTCAGGTACGTGGACATCAACTTCGTGGTGTACACGGGGGACCTGGGTGTGACGGGACAGCAGATTCTGGATGGTGCGCGACGGCGCTTCAACATCACGCTCCCCCGCCCGGTTCAGTTTGTGTTCCTGAGGCACCGGCTGCTTGTGGAGCCGGGCCTTTTCCCTCACTTCACCCTGCTGGGACAGAGTGTGGGCTCCATCTTCCTGGGATGGGAGGCGCTGACAGAGCTTGTCCCAGACATTTACATCGACTCCATGGGCTACGCCTTCACCCTTCCCCTGTTCCGCTACTTGGGGGGCTGCAGCGTGGGGAGTTACGTTCACTACCCCACCATCAGCACTGACATGCTGTCTGTGGTGAGAGAGAGGAACCCCAGGTAATAACTGTGTGTCTTTACCAAATATATTTGTGTCACAATGGCTGTGTTGAGAACATGGCATTTAGGGCCTTTAAAAAAATCTTATATCATAAGCATTCCTTAAAATACCACACTGAATAATTGTATACACATGCATACAGAAAAGGCAATGACTGCGATTGACTTGTCATTTGATTCATAACTAAAATTTCCTCCTTGCTAACCCCTCAAATACCACAAACTGTTAATGTCCTAGGTTGAACAACCCAGACTACATCTCCAACAGTCTCTTCCTGAGTGCCTTCAAGGTGGTCTACTACTGCCTGCTTGCCCTGCTCTACGGCTTGGCCGGCTCCTGCAGCGACCTCATCATGGTGAACTCCTCCTGGACCCTCGATCACATCCTGTCACTGTGGCGCGCTCCCAACCGCACCAGCGTGGTCTACCCACCCTGCGACGTCAGCGCGTTCTTGGACGTCCCGCTGGAGGAGGACGGGGACAGGAAGTGCCACTCGATCGTCTCTATCGGGCAGTTCAGGCCGGAGAAGGACCACCGGCTGCAGATCAGAGCTTTCAAGAAGGTGTTAGACAGGAGGAGGGAGGGGGCGGGGGGCAGGGAGGCCCTGAAGCTGGTTCTGATTGGTGGATGCAGGAACCAGGAAGACGAGGACAGGGTGCTCATGTTGAGGGGGCTGTGCCAGGAGCTGGGTGTGGCCGACAGAGTGGCGTTCAAACTGAACGTGCCCTTCGAGGAGCTGAAGAGAGAGATAGCAGACGCCACCATCGGACTGCATACCATGTGGAACGAACACTTTGGAATAGGTAATTAATCTGAGTGAGGCCTTCTTTAGATTGTCTAATTTGAGTTCTGTGATTTTTAAACGGTCATCTTGGCTCTTCTCTTTCCCCCCTGTAGGCATCGTGGAGTGTATGGCAGCAGGGAAGGTCATTCTGGCACACAAGTCCGGCGGACCCAAGCTGGACATTGTGGTACCTTTCGAGGGAGGCCAGACGGGCTTCCTGGCTGATGACGAGGACAGTTACGCGGAGGCCATAGAGAGGATCCTGGCGCTGCCGCCCGCCAGCCGGCTGCACATCAGACGCAACGCACGTCAGTCCGTGGCTCGCTTCTCAGACCAGGAGTTTGAAGCCTGCTTCCTTGCTGCTATGGAGCCTCTTATGGGAACTCTTGAACGATGAGAAGAGGACTCATTCTTTGTGTGTGTGTGCATGTACAGTTAACGTCACAGTGGCTATTTGACACTTTGAGCACCTTTACTTTGATGCACTTAGGGCTGCATTGCAATGTAGAACGGTTGACAAATTGCTGATTAAAACGGATGCAGTGATCCCTCACACGGAAGGTTGTTGAAATCAAACACTGCGCTTTGTTTGCGTTTGTAATAACTCTTCGTACAGTTTAGAGGAAGTTTGCCTCATGTGTTTAGTGAAAATCCTGCCGCAGAACATTGTGTAATTCTTAGTTGTATTTGTAAATACCAATATCCTGAGCAATGACATTTTTTCAGTATGCATTCCTTTGTCAGTAGTGTCAGTCTAATTCAAAAGAGATGTATTATATTTAGTGAAAATGGCTGAGACAGCTGTAAAATGTAACGGGATATATTTATTGTTTACAAGAACTAGAATTCTCTACATGCCCAAAATGGGAAGTATTTTTGATATTGATGAATGTAATAAAGCTGTGATGAGAGTAAAGAATTGTCGCATTGATGTAGTTTGTCAACGGATGGATTAATTGTTCACGTCTATAAAACGTCTTCCACCAACAGTCCAAAAGCCAAAGATATCCAAATTACTATCGTAGAAGTAAAGCAAATATTCACATTTCAGCATTCTACAGAGATAAGACCTCATCTGCAATGAGCTTTCATTTTCTAGGCACATTGTATTTGTTGATTTAAACTAATTAAAATACTTTATGTAAATGCCTAAAGTTTCCTAAGAAGCTGCTGAATGAATTGGATTTAACTCAATAAATCTGATTTGAGCAGTATACTATAGAGGGTGTGAATGAAAGCAATCTGTTCTGAATTCTTACAGTGCTCATGTTTTTTGGGGGCAGCACCACGGGATCAATAGTACAGAACAAAGGTTAACAGCTGTCACGTGAAAGAAGCTAGAGGGACAAAGGGGGAGGGGAGTTTTTAGGGGTTATGGAGGGGCGGCGCATAGGGGCGCTAGGACAAATGTTTAGAGGGAGGTAAAGGAAGAAGTGAGGAATTTCGGTCTGGTGCTCGTTAAGATGAGGTCATACGCACTTCTCTTGGCCCTGCTGCAGTCTCTGGGATGCTCAGGTGAGTGGCTCTCTATCGAGTAGTTCATGAGCAGATGCAGCGACTGACCTCCACACCGTTGTCCTTGCAGGAATCCCACTGTACAACTCGGAGCTGGAGGCTCTGGCAGACAGGGGTCTCGGAGCAGCTCTGGCTGAGGTCAACTCTGTGTATGCGGCCAACCATCTTTACCGGGTCACCCGAGGCTCTGTCACAAGGGTGAGTCTGCACACACAGAAGTCTTTTAGAATATATCAATTTGCAGCGTCTATACACCCAGTTTTATAACTTTTATTGCAGGTTGTAATACTCGGTGGATGCTTTTTACAGTATAACAGCAGTATATGTTCTACGATGTCTGCCAGATTATTCCCATGGGCCTGAACACCACTGACCTGCTGATGGTGTTTGGCATCAAAGAGACAGAGTGCGTGAAGGCTTCCAGAAACAACCCCCAGACATGCGCCTTCAGACCTGGCTTCTTCGTGGTGAGACATTCAATGACATTGAAATGTATTATGGTTTGTTTTAATTCACCTGGAGTAACAATGATTTGTAAATTCTCTATTTTCTGCAAACTGCCACTTATAGGATAAATAATAAATAGGATCCATGCCAAAGGTTAAATGTATCTGTACACAACTCTTGTACACTGAAGGCTTCATATCTCAATTCTGGGTAGGCCCCATGTTGACTGACTGATGCAGCCCACTGTTTGTGTTGGCCCGAATTTACTGGAACAGTGTGTGTTGATCAACTCCGCTCTGCCATGATGCAGTGGGACGCAGCGACGAGATATGTGCATTATGCAGAATATTACAAATACCATCCTCTCCTTCACCTGCAGCCGTCCTTGTCCTGCTCCAGTCGGGTTCGAATGTCGGCCACCTCGACCCAGGTGGTGTCTCTCAGATGCGGCGACTCGAGCTCCAGCTCCTCGTCTAGTGAGGAGGTGAGGACACAGGAGGGAAGGGGCTGTAGTCACAATATGACAAGCGTCCTGAACTATATAGTGCATGCGAGTAATATCAAAGCTTTGGTTCCACAGATGATCTCAAGAGGGAGACACCAGTTCAACATGCCATTTGTAAATAGAGGTAAACTCGTTCCAACTAGTGATGGTAAACTACAATCAGGTGCTGAAGTATCTCAACATTCACCAGTGTGGTATTCAATGCACAAAACTAACCACAGCCCCAATATCTTTCAGCAGTCCCGGCTCCTCCTGCACCTCCTCAGCCTGGTCGCTTCCTCCAAGGCCAGAGAGCAGAACCTTGGCCCAGAGGCGACACTTTCACCAACTACCTGGTGTGAAAGTTCAGCTCACTCTGGAAACATGTAGATGCTGATGAGAAGACAAGCTTGAATAAATAAACAGAATTTGCTTTGTTACCATTTTCGTTCTTAGTGTAGGACAACAAAAGACCACTAGAGGGAGTCTAAGCTCCACTCACCCACAAACACATTTCCCATTTTAATCATTTGTACATGGATAGTGAAGTGATGGTGCTGAAATGCATCACCTACATAGCTCTTCCCAGCTAAACTTGATCGAAACCATTTGAACAAATGAGGACTCTGAGACGGATTGAGGTCTGGTTTGAACATTTATAATGTGATTTTCAGTTCATATGCAGGATCATTTCACTTGGCCCCACATGTTCACATCAATAACTTACATACTGCACTGTAGCAAACATCCTGTTAAGACAATGGCAATCAGTTATAAGAAATGGTACGTGGTCTTCCAGCGGTGATCAAACAGCGCTCGTGTGGAAACAACCATCTTCATGACACTTCAAGCACACATTTCCACACTGAAGCCAATTTAAAACCAGTTTAAACGGTATGAAATATTGATATGACATCCTCGCAAAACAAGGATGTGTTGATGATGAGTTCCTTGAAAAGGACAGCGTTAGCACCCTGAAAATAAAAGGCATTGCTGCTAGAAATGAAAACCCCTTCATGATCCAATCTGCAGGTACAAAATCAAGAGACAAGCAACATTCAGTCTAATGCAAGTCAGATGTTTTCTGTTATTGACTACATGATTTAACGCTTTGTACATGAACCAGACAAATGTATCCTTTTCAACCGAGTCACCTTGTGTGGATGAGTATACTTCACAGGACTGAATCCAGCCTGTACGATCCACTTCCCCGAATTGTGATACCATGTGACGTTAGAAGGCGGCGGGGGCCGACAGTAACGGAGTAGCAGGTACGAACTGAAGGATAAGGTCCACAAATCAAGCCCACGCACAGGGAACTCGCAAAGTCCACGAAGTTACAGTCACAGGCCTCCTCCTCCATTTACAGTCTGTTAAATAAAAAACAATGTTGGGCAGTCCAGACGCTGCTGAACCGTTGGAAGAAAATCTCCTTTCTGCCTTTGACCTCTGTGCAAGACTTTGGGGATAAGGCTTCCTTCTGATTTGATTTGCTAAGTGGTGAAACAGTCTAGAAATGTTTGAGTCGACAGATTTAAAAGTTTAACGGTTATTTTTTTTAAGTGTTTATGTCACTGAATCACTGCCTTCATGTGTGTAATTCATGTTTGAAATTACACCGTCTCATATACATTCCATTGTGCCCTAATGTTTTCTTCCTCTCTAGACTTTGCTATTAAAAGACACAAAAAATCCTTCCGTTTATCGCTCATTAAATAATTTTATATAAAACCAAACCTAACCGTTCCCGCTCCACGAAGGCCTTCTTAAACGGTTAACAACTTCACCACCGTATAATCAGACACACATGCATGCATGTATGCATCGCCAGTCTCAGTCTCTCTCTCTCACTCATGCACACACACCAGAACAGCTGCATGTTTTACGGCTTGTTGTTACATGAAGTCCATGCAGTACCAAAGCAGAAAGATCCCGATGTGTCTTTTTTTTTTGTTGTTGTTTTTTTGTCTCCAGTACGCGGCACAAACGTACGGCAAAGAAGCGGATAACATGGTTTGGCTCAGACCTGGATCCAGTCATATTTGCACAATTCTTATTTGTGTATATTTAAATCTGCTTGGTGTACCAGATGGGCGGGGTTTACCACAACACAATGTCTTCCGGAGAGTTTAGACAATCGCAGAAAATTAAAAGACCGTTTTGACCTCAAACTTACCTGCTCCAGTCTAAATTGTCCCAATAACATAAACCCCACCGATCCGGAATGCCAAGCATGTTAAAAAACTGCAGTAATTAGCAAACACTAACTGACCGTGGTCTGGTTTGGGTTTTAGTATATACACAGTCATCTATTTATCATTGGGATCCCAAGAGGACAGAAGGTATTCAGGAGTTCGCTCCCATTTCACTTATGAGTGTTCAGTTCCACATATTCTTTCATTGTCTATTCATCCATCTTCATAATGTCCTGATCTCCAAGTTTCAACACTCGCCAGTAAGTTTGGTTGTGTCCCCCCGTTTGGGTGGTGCGGGCGGCGGTCCTCGTCGTATTGTTGCATAGCCTGAGATGTTTCCGGACATGTAGCCACCGTTTCCTCCATTGCTTTGCTTTCCTTGGTCCAGGAGCAGCTCAGGGGGCGGCGGAGGCAGCGCCATGTCGTCCATAGTTCCCACAGGGTCCAACTTGCCCGTGAGGCCGGCCGAGTTGAGGGAACCTTGGCGACCCACTGACTTTCGCTTCAGTGTCCGGTGGAGATCATCCAGGAAATTGGGCTGGCCTGAGCTGCCCTTTGGGGAGGTGGGTGGAGGTGGTGAGAGTGGAGGGGGCTCCGGGGTGGCGTTATTACGCCGCACGAGCGTGGGTGGAGGAGTCTTCTTCAGTGAGCTCTTCCCCCATGTAGAGTTGCTGACAAGGGGGACAGGTGGAGGAGGAGGGGGAGCCTGGGGCTGGGGGTTGACCACGGCTACCCTCGGAGGTCCTCCGCTATGGGCGTCACTACCGGGAGGGGGAGGAGGGGGGAAGAGCTCAGAGGGCGGGGGAGGAGGTGGGAAGTAGGCACACTCAGGTGGTGGGGAAGGGAAGTCACCACTGGTTTGCTTTACCTGGCTCACTTTAGCCTGGAGTGCCAAGGGCAGGTTGGCCAGGTTGAGCTTGCCTGGTTTCGGGGGAGCAGGGGGTCCAGTTGAAAGGTCCTTGGAAGGGGATCCACTGGAGGAGGAGGTGGGACCCGGTGGGGGAGAAGGGGCGTTATTCTGGGGAGCAAACTTGCTGAGCAAATTTCTCCTGGATTCCTCATAAGAAGCCGAGGAGTCAAACTTGGTGCTGGAGTTCCTCTGCGGGGCGGGAGGGGGTTTCTTGGTTCCGAAATTGGAGGACCCAGTGGGTGACCTCCGCAAGGGGGCGCCCATGTTTCCAGGAGGGAGGGGAGGAGGAGGTGGAGCCGGGCCCGTGACAGGGGCTAGGGGAGGTGGCGGAGGAGGAGGAGGAGGAGGTGGAGGAGGTGGAGGAGGAGGGGCGGCGGCAGCGGCAGGGAAGCCAACGTTGCTGTCTGGAGGAGGAGGAGGGAACTCTGGAGATTGCAGCTGCTGGCCGCCCCCGGGCTGCCATCTTGGTTTGGTCTTGACTGCAGGTGGGGAAAGGGGGGCTTTGGGGCTCTCTGCGTGATTGGCTACTTGGGATGAAGCTCCTGGAAACTGACTTGCTAGTTGTTTCACCAAAGACATGGTAGGAGGTGTTTGTTTAGAAATGCTGTGCTGCTTGGGGAGAGTCGGAGGGGGATGGCTGAAGTTGTGGCCTGCCTGGAAGCTGAACTGCTTCTTGAGGGGCGCAGGTGGAGGTGGGGGTGGAGGTGGCGGTGGGGTCGGGCCAACCAGGGCAGCAGGAGGTGGGGCGGGGGGAAACGGAGAGACAGGAGAGATAGGTTTGAGGGCTGTGTGAGGGACAAAACCCGGGGTGAAGGTTTTGGGTGGTGCTGGTGGCGGTGCAGGGGGGGGCGGGAACTGGGCTGGCACTGGGAACTCCTGGGGAGGAGGAGGAGGTGGTGGCGGAGGTGGGGGCGGAGGAGGTGGAGGTGGCGGAGCAGGAGCAGGCGGCGGGGACTCCTCAAGGACTCCATTTGGAGAGAGGAGGTCCCGCGGCGGGCTGGGAAACCTTTCCTTTAGTGCCCGCTTCAGCCCGTTGGGGTAAACAGAATGGCTCATGGGAGCCAGCGCAGGAGGTGGTGATGGAGGAGAAGGAGGGGGAGGAAATGCTGCTCCATTTGTCTGTGGAGCAGGAGGAGCCGGTGGTGGGGGAATGAAGGCAGGCGGGGTGGCCGGGCTGGGAGGGCCCCGCTTCAACATCGCCATGGCCGACCCAGGGGCCGGCATGGACGGCGGAGGGGGAGGAGGAGGTGGAGGTGGGACATTAGTCCTTGCTGCAATGTGATTCACGTTGGGTTTGACGGGCACCTGTGCTGCAGGTGGTCTCAGAGCTGAGGGCAGAACTTGCTGCCCTATTGCATGGATGTGACTGGGCAGCCTGTGGTGATTGGCAGCCTGGGAGGCCATCTGGTTCTGCAGCCTGGTGATGGTGCTGTACTTGTACATGGTGGGAGCCGGCGAGTGGTGCGACACCGTTTGAACCGGGGGCGGGGGAGGAGGGGGAGGCGGAGGTGGGGGCGGTGGAGCCAGCTGTTGCTGCTGCGGGGGCGCGTGGTTGTAGCCGCCGACGGTCTGCGGCTGTTGCTGCGGCTGCGGAGACTGCGGCGATTGCTGAGGGCGCTGGGGATACTGGGGATGCGGCTGCAGAGCCTGTTGAGGAGACTGATGCTGGGGATACTGGGGAGGCGGCTGCAGGGCCTGTTGAGGAGACTGTTGCTGGGGATACTGGGGAGGCGGCTGCAGGGCCTGTTGAGGAGACTGATGTTGGGGATACTGGGGAGGCGGCTGCAGGGCCTGTTGAGGAGACTGATGCTGGGGGGGCAGGTGCTGGTGTTGAGGAGACTGATGCTGGGGGGGCAGGTGCTGGTGCTGCGTCGTCGCCTGGGTCGGTGTCTGGGGGTGCGCTGACGGGTGCTGATGCTGCAGCGGGTGCTGTTGGAGGGGCTGAGGCTGCACCTGAAGTTGGGGAGGGGGCGTCAGGGCCGGGTGATCCGCTGAGTGCTGGCTGTGATGCCGTTGACTGTGGGAAGCGTGCGGCAGGGTGGCCCCTCTGGTTGCCTCCATTCTCATATGCTAAAAGGAGACAGTGTGTTAGCTCGGTGAAGTGGATGACATATTCTGTACCAGATTAGCAACTATAACAGATTTTTTTTAATCCCTGCCGTCTTTGAAAGAAAGCCGTACCTTGGAGCTTTCCTCGATCTGGGTACCTCTCTTCCAGGCCTCAGAAAATATGGAGCTCACCACACTCTGGGACCGGCCATGAGAAGAGCCCGTGTCCACTCCACTGTCTGACTGGCCTGAGTGATTAGACTGGGACTCTGGAAGCAAACACACAAATGACAATATTCCTCTCTCAAAAAGTCTTACTATCAGTGGAGTAAAATCTGGATATATTTGTCTCTGCTACATCTTATTATGGCTGATTACTTCTGACTTTTCTTTTTATGTGTGTCCCTTGAAAGCCCAGACTAGACACTCTGTTTGAAATCCTTTGTGGTGATGAATTAAACTTACCAGGAATGCTGGCAGAGCTGGAGCCTGATCGGATGCTGGAGGTAGAGAGAGAGGACCAATCGTAAGCCGCCTCTGTCCTCTTCATGGCCTCCTGGTAGTTCACATATAGTTGCTTGCCATACTACACACAAACACACAATGAAATACAAGTAATTAACATGAATTCTCTTAGAAGTGTGAGAGAACTATTTTTTTGCCTTTTTCGCAGACTAAACAAAGCGGAGCAGAAACTCACCTTGGCGATGCGAATTCCATTCACCCATTGGTGCAGGGTCCTGACGTCATCACAGCAGAGATACTTGATGTACTGGGACTTCTTCTGGATTTGGGGGTGCTGCAAAAAGAAAAAGTTCATATATATTTGACTGCATTATTTTACATTTCCATGACGTTTGCAGACTGTTTCAGATCTTTACGTCACACAACACGAAAGTCTCCACTCGGAAGGAAGACGGAGGGACAGGGCTTCACCTTCAGGGCCAGGCAGTAGTCGGTCGGAGCCTTGTATTTGCTGCGGTAGTCCTGGCCGTAATACACGTTGACATGGTCCAGCTGCAGGAAGCACACGAGATCTCTGGATGCCTGCGGAGGGGGAGACAGAGGAGGATGGATTGACTTCGAAAAGGGGCCGAGGTTGAGTGAAGCTGCTGCTCTGACGCATGCCGCCTACAGGTACATCTAACATTTTTGGTGAGAGTTTGGACTGACTAAATGTTTAGAAACGTCCAATACAAAAGTCTTAATTACATATTAATAGCCTTAAAGTATTTTTGGAGCACATGCCGTTTCTATGCTTGAGTGCAGTTGCTCTAAATGGGCTTTAAATAATTATGCTAAGAGGATCCAAGTCCCACTTTAGTCAAAGTGCTCATGTTTTTGAGGGTAATTACACAGATCTAAAATCAGTATACAGTGCTCTATTCAATGCCTGAGCTGAAACTCCAATGTATTGTAGGACTCAACCTACTTTGTAGCGCACACAAGGTTGCAGGATTTGAATAAGGCAACAAAACAATCAACAGCATTGGTCTCTGGCAGCGCAGCCAGTGAATGCTGCTGTCACTGAAAATGACTTTGGAGGAGGATAGAGCTAAAAATGGAGCACATGCATTGTTTCTGTTGTGTTCATTTCGATCAACAGGAAATGCCACAGAGCAGACTGTGTGAATCTGGTTCTCATAACGCCGACCCACATCTCTGAACTCCATCTTTATTGTGCCTGAACTACTCCCATCCCATGCCTCACGGACCTTAGCTTTGCCTTTGGGGACGTAGTAGATCCCCGAAGCTCTGAGGAGGAAGTAACGCTTCTTCCACGACTTCTTCCCGTCCTCCTTCAGCCACAGGATGCCCTCGATCTCCGGCACCGACACCGAGCCGCCACAGAAGCACTCCTGACGGACGCACAGAAATCGACGTCACAGTTAGAGATCCATTCTGATGTGTCGGAAAACGACGGGGAAGTTCGTGCTTGTACGCAACCTCACCTCTAATAAAGCCTCTTTATTCCTGTCAGCCATTTCGGATGTCTCCTTCCGCCCCAGCAAGTAGTTCTGGAGATGACCGAGAGGAACAGTTAAGGAAGGAAGGGGGAAGTGTAAAGTCGGCGGCTCACCTCGTCTTATGTTAAATAAATTATTCACCTTTACTCGCTTTAGAGCTTTGACCTACTTCCAGCTCTCCTACACAAACACACTCTCTGGCTCTCTGGGCTCTGCCGGCACTCAGCATGCATAAACAATGCGTTTGTGTGTATAGCATATGTTGTCAGCATTTATACACGGAACGCAGGGAGTGGATATCGATAAGATGATCTGTCCTCTCTCTCCTCTGTGTGTGTGTGTAATGGTCAGTCACCTGAGGGTTCTTGAAAAGAGCATATTTCTCGATGCGTTCGATGAACATGAGCTTGTTGTGGCTGTCCCGGGTCCAGTTTAACAGATTCTCCACCAAGTTCTCATGATCCTCGAAAATACGCTCTGAGAGAGGGAGGGGAGAGAAGAGGGAGCAATGAAGATAAGATTGCAAGATGTGCAGCGTTTTTTGCTGACACGCAAATGTGCTCTTAATTTCCTCCCTCCGGGGATTTCTGTTTTTCGGGGTGGGGTTAGAACTTTTAACTGTGAGCTGGAAAATTAGCCCGAGGTCGCAGACAGAGACTATTTTTAGATCACAGATTATAACAATTACATACATGTTACCGTTAGTGCCTCCTTTCCGTATGCCAACAGTGCACACTAAGGCAAACCATAAACATCTCTTACCCATCTGTAGCTCAGTGATGGTTTCCACAAGAGACCAGTCGGGGCTGTAGCCACAGTGCGACTTATCCAGCAGGCTGTCCAGCACCTGCCTGACCGTCTGCCGCTCATCCACCATCATGGTCTTGGAGCTCTCGTCCGACATGTGGACCCTGATCACCAGCTGAGGAAGAGGAGCAGAAGGGAGAGTGATCTCGGAAGATCGACTTGTTGTGCAACGTAATGCTAAAAGTTGGGACAACAGACACACCAATATAATCCCTATGCATGCACTTCAGCATTAACTACCATTTCGGGCTTCCAATCATGTATTCATGGGCTCTACAGTAATCTTTTAATCTATATTCTCTATTGGCCAGCATATCCAAATCCTATGGAAAGAAATGATTATTGTCTATAATCACTCAGCAGGAAGCTTGACCAAAGGAACAATAACTCCCAACGTTCATATAATTCCTTAAAATGGCCTCTTTTTTTGGAACAATTTGCAATAAATTCATTTTGAAGGAACGATGTCTTTTTGCAGCAACAGTCCACCATGAATTAAGCCACAGGATCTGGTTGGGGATTGACAGCTTTAAAAAGATGGAACGCCGTCATGTGCTTGTAGAGCTAGTATTAAATACTTAGGGATCACTACCGTCACAATGTCGCATATATGACCACTAAAGACTGAAATCCAATAATCTGAAAGTTTTGCATCCATAGGCAATAAAGAGTCCTCCATAACAATCAAGCTTAAACTAATCTCACCGGGACAAACGCGTGCCAAATCCAGCCCAACACAATCGCAGCCTACATAAGACTTGTCCTGGTGTGAAACGGAATAAAGCGCTCTCAATTCCTTGACCTCATGTTTGTCCCCCCTGCTGGGGACCCTGACATCCAATCAGAGGGTGGGTACAGTTGATTGAAGGGATCCTTGGACCAATGAGAATGCTGCAAGTGCTGCGAGACAAAGACGTGGGGAGTCTGACCTACATTTCTCACAGGAGGGACCCCTAAAACCTAAAACCTAGTCTGGCAGAAAAACTGTCAAAGTTAAATCAAAACCAAAAACAATCCCACTGCTTCAACAAGGTTCTATCCAAACGCAATCAAACCAAAACATAGTAAGTTGTGAGTCATAGCTGGCCGTGGAGACCGCTGACAAGCACATGACTAATAATTTAGCACATCGCAGCGTTCTACGCCGGCCGAGGGCTTTCCTTTCTGTGCCGGCTGTACCAGCACTCTTTATCTTGTCTTATTGTGTGCAGCCCTGCTCGCTGAAACACTGTTGGGTCTCATCTATTCATTGCATGTAAAAAGACACCATTATGTTGCTCTCATTCACAGAGACAATTCATTCACTGGTGGAGACACTGGTTAAAAAAAATGGAGACATGCATGCGCCGCGGCTTTCAGGGCGCCCCAATGTTCACCGAAAAACCAGCACTTGTTCGGTTGGACGTGGTAAATGAGACGCTTTGTGTCCGCATTGTCTTGCAGCACTGGTTTTTCCTGAAGCCCGCTTCCGATGTCTCGCTCCCTCCCTCGGCAGACACGCACACATAATCAAACACCGCAATGACCTATTTCTTTCTCTGCGCTTCGCCTTTTAAGTGAGTGAGCGAGAGAGTGTGCGCAAAAGGAAAGAGGTGGCCCTACCTTTTTGACCTGTGCCTCCTTGATCTTTTCCAGGGCGACTCGGATCTTCTCTGCCTTTAATTTGGCAGCTTGTTCCTCCTGGATGGACACGGGAGAGCATTGTTAACACGGTAATTATTAAAACAATAACACAACCACACATAACACCCTGACCAAAAAAACAACCCACAACAGGGTTTCTGATTTCAAAGCCTTGCCTCATCTTCTTCGCCCATGACTTTCATTGTTCCTCTGGCAAGAACAAGACATCATGCGCACAGACAAACAACTTCATTAATAGTAAGCAGCCTTCTAAACCATTTAAACGAACAAGCCTCTGGCATGATGGCGCTTGGTGTCATGGGCAAAAACGAAATCCAATTTTTTTTCCAAGCCTTGGGTTGCTTACCTGCCCCCTCCAACAAGATGCCATCACCTCCATTTCCGCAGGTTGCGTATGCTTCCACGTTTTTGTGTGTGTGTTTTTTTTTTTATTACTCGTGTGTGAATATTTGATCAACTAAAAACGCCGCGTAGCTAAATCGCTGCTATCGTGACATTGGTCCGGTGTTCCCTTCAAAAATGGCGCTCCATTTGCAGTCTATGGCTCCATATTGGATTCGTATGGAGCTGCAGAGGGTTCCTTTGATCTCGCTATACAGCAGAAGGGAAACAATAGTAGAAGATCCCCGAAGGGCGCGAGGCTGCGGATGAGTGTGGGATCAGTTCAGAAAGCCTCTATGCAGTCCACTCAAAGACACAATGATCTCCTGCAAAGATCAGATTCGGAATTCGAGGGCAAAGAAAAGAAAGAATATATCCAGATTCGTCCATAATTATTAATTAAAAAAAAAAAAAAGACAATTTCTTTCTCATTTGTCTCTACATTGCAAGAAAAAAACCCAAGTATGTATATTTCTTTGTCCGCTTGCCACCTTTCAGTCAGCTACTGGCGTGTAAAGACTTACTCCACAATGATCCTCAGTGGGGGAAACTCAGCCGTGCATCCACGTCTCCCATCATTCAAAGCGAGACCGAGCGATGGCGCAGGTTCACCGACAAGCAGACATGTGCGTCCTCGAGATGACAACTTGACTAAAACCCCAAATGAGACAGTCGGGAGGAGGACGCCCCTCCCCCTTCCAACTCTCTCTCTTCCTCTCCCCCTCTCCTCTCTCTCTCTCTCTCAATCACCCTCTTACACTCTCTCTCTTCATAACAGATGCAGGGGTTTGGGAGCGTGCCCAATCAATGGAGCATAATCCCCACAAAAATAGGAGAGCGAGGGGGTGGCCAACCAGCAAGCCCCCCCTACCGCAAGACCCTCTACCCTTCAGCCAATCAGGACGAGCGGGGAGACCGTGACCGACGCCGGTCCCCCGGAGCTAAACGACAGTGACAACGACGGAGAGTGGAATTTGGGTGAATGAGTTGCTGAAGGTGCTGAATATTTCAAGTCTTGTGTGTGTACACACTCAAGAGAAGGGTTGAGGGGTCTTAACAACCTCTCCCCAAGCCTCTTATCTTAAGAACCCCCCACCCCCTTGACCCAGACTACCTTTCCACATGACCAGCTCCAGGGCACATGCACATTATAATGCAATGAAGCCAACACTATGTTTGGCCAACACACAGTGGCAGGCTTTTAGAAGAACAGCGAGGGAGGAGAGGTCTCGGGGGCTGTGAAGATTACAGTCCAGAGTTGATCTGCGTCACCGCGGAGGTTCAGCTCCATAATTGTCAGCGTAACTCCGTCTCCCCTCCATTATTTCCTCTCCACATGACACCTACACCCTGCTTTTTATTAGACATTAATCTGATTCCTATTCCACAGGGGTTTTCCCAGCCACTTTCACACTCAGCCACACCAGAGCCAATTTTGAAAGGCTCTTCTGCCGAGCATGGGGAAAAGAAAATGTAAAAAAATCTTGGCACCCTCTCCCTTTGATGTCTCTCCGCTCGCTCCCCGCTTGTTCCCAAAAAGCCCACGCTCATTGAGTATTCTGATTTGCGGGCGAGGAGCGGGAGTGAATTTGGGAGTCGGGGCGATCTCTCCCATTCTCTGGTGGAAAAGTGTAACACTGACACATAAACTCCCTCACAGCCTGAACGCCACGGCCAATACATCCTCTCCATTCAAATGTTTTCTGCATCCAGAGACTGAGAGCCGATATTCCACCAACCTACAGAACTAGATTCCATCGTTTTAGCAATCGATCTTCCAGGATTGCGGCTGTAAAGTTTCAGGGAGGACGAATCGTGTGGATATTACTGAGGGAGTCAGCCAGCTCCACTCTTGGCATCCTTTATATTCAAATGAATGGAAATGACTGAAAGGGTTTTGGAGAGAAATCTGCAAAGCAACGCCAAGCGATTTCAGTTTACCCATACATAAATAATACAAGGCTGTCTTCTGTTTTGAAGTTGTTAAAAGAGCTGAAAACAATCAAAAATAATCCCCCAGAGTTTTCCAGACCCAGAGAAGACCCTTATACCGTCTCAGATCAGCATGATTTGTGGTTTGTCTCAGATTCAAGTGAATGCTCTTGGTCTATTAAATCTTTGCACTTGGCTATGCGTCGTGTAGCGATGGCAGAATAAATCACAATCAACAGCGGCCAAATTTCAACCACAAGTCATCACACATCTGATCAGCATAAGCTTTGCACGGGAGCAGAGGGCTGCAGCGAATGCAATCTCTGCGCGAAGTGACTGCTGCCAAGATGTTTTACAGTAAGGGTTGAGAGACGACCGACACATGATGGATTAACAGATGTGAGAGATACTGTATATTAAACAGTGGAGCATAAAGGAAATTCAAGTACGATGAGATAAAATACAGGGCTGCAACTAACAAAGGGTTGTTTAGGTTATGTAATGTTGGAAAGTGGGCAAAAAAATGTCAGAAGATTCACTTTACATGTCTTTTTTGGTCTGACCAACGAGTCAAAAATCCAGAGATGCTCCATTTCTGATACCAAAACAGAGAAAAGCTGCAAATCATGGACCGATTCGATTTATCGCTGTAGCTCTATTATTAATATTACATAAATGGTGCAAATCAAAAGCCAGCTACACGGAGAAAGAAGCAAAATGAAGGAAAACCGAGAGAAAAGATCACATGCCAGTGAAAAATGAATGTGGAAGCAAGTCGGACAAACCTATCAAGTGTATTCAATCTATAAGCATGGGACAGTGTGTGCATGGTGAATGCTGAAAAATGATGCAAGGGAAAAATCCATTCAGAAGCACAGATACTCTCATCCCGTTAGATTACTTGGGATACTTGGTTTCTCTCAACTCGGCTCATGTATTTTTCTATTTGTGCATTCCTAAATGTCCAAGAGTATTATTTGGCAGAGCTCACAGATCCCGTGAGAGTGCAGTTAGGTAAAGCTGACATCGGCAGAGAAACTGTTATCTCTGCCTCTTCTTTTTAATTAAGTGAAATAAATACGTTTGCTGTGATTTTCCAGCAGCTGTTGGGTTTTTCCATGCAAAGCAGAAGAGAGGGGCAGTGGCACGCACACACACACACACACACACACACACACACACACACATACACACAACAGAAAAGAGTGTATGCGGAAGTCACCTTGGTCAGGAGGTGAGAAGGCTTTCCTGCTATGCTTTTCAGAATGAGCGAGGTTTCTCGGTCCAGATAGGAGTGCTTGGGTGAAGAGAGGAGAGCAGAGGAACAGACAAAATATAGAGGTGTCAGTGCCAGGTGATTCTCGGAGGCTTATTAATCGCAGGGGTTTTGATCTTTATGTATGACAGAAGCGTGGAAGCGAGAGAAGGTCCCGTAAAGGGAGCGCTCAGCAGTGGTGGTTGTCATTAGCTGCAGCTGTGGGTGAGGAAGCAATGACTGTGAGAAGCACTGTAGATATGCACAGAGCAAACATGACCGCAGTAGATTGGAGTGTGTGAATCTGTAGTATACTGTGCATTCTGGCTCGCTATCAAACCTACAGTCTACAGCTATATTTCACTCCATACACACTTTACTTACATGTGCATGCATTACACATACACAAACGGCTGCACACTGCATGTGATTCAATTCAAATTGCTGGTGGAAACTAAAATAATATGTGATTGCCTGCAGGTTTACATGGGCAAATGCCTAAAACGCATTCATGCACACATGCACGCTCTTACACACACACACACACACACACACACACACACACACACACACACACTTACAGTGGCCCGATCCACTTCCCCCTCCCGTGAGGTGAAGTCAAGCTGCCGTCTGGCCCGTCGCAGTGTGACATGCTGGGAATATCAGGAGGTGCAGGCAAGGTGTGTGTGGGTAGAGACCACAGATATAGGAAAATAGGAAAAGATGCAAACACAGATAACATGATGACATGCAGGGGGGGGGGGGGGGGACATGCATGCTAACTTTTTCCTTCTGAACTGAAATACTACCTCTCTGTCACGGTTTCCCTCTCCTCCTTTCTCTAGCTTTTGCCCCTAAACATACTGTTTTAGTGTATTAGCTCAGATATTTTGCTTCTGAAACAGGTTAAACTCCTCTAAGACTTGAGGATGTTGTGCTTTTGTTACAGAGCTTGGTGAGTGAGCGAAAGAATTCAGCATGTTAACATTTTAAATCCGCATGTAAGCGAGCCTTATAGGAGATTACAACATGCTCGTTAACACACCATCCAATGCACAATACACGTCCGTATTGTGGATTGACTCTCAACATGCAGTTTCTTCCAAACGTCAGTCATGCTGTGTGGTTAAACATGCAGGACGAGAGCTTGCCTTGCTATTAGATGTGGAAATGTACATGCACGCTTTGTCATTAGCTGATAATACTTTGGATATCCTTGGTGTGTGTGTGTATTTCAGTGTGAGCCGTACCTCTGTGCTGGTCTGGTTCTGTCCCTGTGTGCTCGGGCTGCTCTGGCCCTCCACCTCTCCGCCCGCCATCACTTTGTCAATGTCCAGGGAGTCCATGCTGGACGCTGAGGCACATGCTGAATTTACACTGGACCGCTGGGACGGAGCTTCCTGCTCGCTGACCGCGCCCACTGAGCCCGTCCTCCTGTGCTGGCCGCCGCCGCCGGACGACCCCGACGAGGGCCGCCGGAGCGTGGCTGAGGAGAAAGAGGAGGAGGAGGAAGAAGAGGAGGAGGATGTCTGACGCGCCGCTTCATCCATGCTGAGAGAGGCCTTCTCCAGCTGAGAGGTGATGTCATCTAGGGAGATGTTGGCGGCCGCGGGGCGGGCGTTGAGGCTGCCACCGCGCACCGTGTTGGCCGGAGACGCCCGGGTACTGCTACTGGTGCTTCCTGTTGGGGATTTCAAGCACAGCTCAGAGGGACTGCCTTTGAAAATGATATGTGGTCCATTGATGGAATACATTTGTTAACGTTACACTGGATTTGTGACACATTCCAGTTGGATCTCAGGTGCAACATGTAGCATCTTTAAACATCAATATGTAACTAGAAAATTCCTAAAGAATTTTGACAGTGTGGCTTCTACTGCCCGAAGAAATCGCAATATATACACACGCCAATGTTACCGGTAGTGTCATTCAGGTTCAATTGAGATAGCGCTACTCTCTTTTCTGCATTTTAGATTCATACTCTTGGATTGAATCTTGTATTTGTGGGGCTTTTATTTTGAAAGGGTGGGACTGGGTGGGTGAGAGAGGGGGAGAGGAGACAGAATCATAATGTTTGACACTAAAATGAGAGGCTTCATCACAAGCATTCCAGTTAGAATTCATTCTGTGGGGCTTTTAATTTGAAATGGGGGGAGGGGGGTGAGAGAGGAAAAGTCCTCTAAAATATCTAAGACCTGAATGACTGTATGATAGAGAGAGACACAGAGAGGGAGAGAGAGACAGACAGAAAAACAGACAGAGAGGAGAGAGAGGCTGAGTGAGACAGGCAGACAGACAGTTAGATGGACTGAGTGAGTGGGAGAGTGAGACAGGCAGATAGACAGTTATAGGCTTTTATTTTAAAAATGGGGGGGGGGAGTCCTCTAAAAGTCTCCAAGACCTGAATAACTGTATGAGAGAGAGACACACAGAGAGAGAGAGAGACAGACAGAGAGATAAAGGGAGAGGAGTGTATGTGCGTGTGTGTCTCAGTGCCTCTGTGTGTTTATCAACATCACTAATGAGCTCATATAAACACCTGTGTGCTTGGGTGCATGTTGGTGATTGGAGCACCTGTGTGTTAGAGGCTAACTAAGAGAGAGTAACCAGTGATTTCCAACAAAACTACCTGTCAAACATATGCCCTCTATACCAAAACCATGAGACTAATCAATAGAATATGGATACCGTGAGAGAGATAAGACTCTGGCAAACGCGGAGATGTGTTTTTTATGTTTGTGGTCTTAAAAATGTGAGCTCAAGCGCAATATGCAAAACTGGTACCGTCTGCTTTCTTTGAGAAATGAGTGGTGAGATTTAACATGGAGTCTAATGGAGCAGTTGGTTGGAGTTCATGTCGCTCTGTGGCTCTTTGGGCCAAATGTGTAAGGCCGTTGGATTCCACAAACATCTGTGTGCGACAGCACAACCTTTCCAAGCTTTTTGGCCAAAAATGGTGTATAAACATTGTGGGAGCTGGAGCAATTTGTTTGGAAAAATCACAGAAGATTTTCCTGCTCCGCTCCACTCTGACAGTTATGCTCTCACTCTAGCTCTTAACGAGCCGCGCAATACACACCCATAATAAAATCTGAAACAGACCCAAAATTTTCCTGAAACATAATCTGCGACTTCATGAAAACTGTGCTAGCTATCGAAATGTCCATTTGGCTCAATAAAGTGCAGCGTTCTGTCTACGTTTTAAACTTTGAATCATGTTTCTACGTTAATGTACGGCTAGTCAATATGGGCCCAAAGTTAAGTGTTTTTTAAGCTCTCTTCACGCCGCAACCCCATTCATGTGAATGGAGAAACTTTGCTCAGTTTTTGGGGATTTTCGGGAAAAGCGCTAGGCGAATCTCTCCGTAAAATAGATAGCACACTATTCCCGAT